ATAGCAGGTAGAAAGCCAATCTGACAAGCAAGCACCTCTGCTAGAGCTTCTAAGTTCTCTATCCTTCTTACTGGAATTAATTTGCTCTTTAACCAGTTAACTCTCAAACCTGACACAACTTCAAACCAACTCAGCACCCCTAAAAGAACTCCCAACTAATCCACATCAGCATCAATGAAGCAGAGTGTGTCATCTGCAAATTGAAGCATTTGAACTTCTCTCCCCCCTGGTGTTGTCTCAAAACCTTTCCACAATCCCTCTTCCCCTACTCAGTTAACAAAGATAGCTAGAATTTCCATCACACAAATGAAAAGAAAGGGGGATAGGGGATCCCCTTGCCGTAAGCCTCTGGAGCTCTTAAAGAAGCCTGTTGATTGTCCATTCACTAGAACTGAAATTTTTGGACAAGTAATACACACCTTGATCCAGTTCCTCCATTTTTGGCCGAAATTCATTCTTTCCAAAACAAAATCCAGGCATTTCCAGTTGGCACAGTCATAGGCCTTTTCCACGTCCAGTTTACACAACAGCCCTAGCCTACCCTCCCTTTCCCTTGAGTCTATCAGCTCATTTTCCACCAAAACACTGTCTAACATTTGCCTGCCTGGCACAAAAGAAATTGATTTTTTTGCTATCACGGTATTTAAGACCCTCTTTAGCCTCTCTGCTAGAACCTTAGCCAGGATTTTATAGAAACTATTCAGCAAATAATTGGTCTAAAGTCCTTGATGTTTGTTGCACCTTCCACCTTTGGAATTAAGGAGATGAATGTAGTATTCAGGTTTCTTTCCAAAGCAGCATTTTTATGGAAATACCGAAACACCTTCAAATAGATCCACTTTCACTACTGGAGACTTATCAATTTCCAAATTGTTTACCACTTGCCAAATTTCCTCCTCTAAGAAGGGGGCTTCCAGTTCCCTTTGCTGATCATCTGAAAGTCTCTTCGGAGGTCTTCTAGTCCAACTTTCCTTGAACAGGTCTGAAAAATATTTTGTGGCAATGCTCTTCATTTCTGCCCAATTCTCTCCCACCTGATCTTCAAATTCCAGCCTCTCAAGCTGATTTAGTCTTTTCCTAGCATTTGCCATCTTGTGGAAAAAACTGGAATTTTTATCCTCCACTTTAAGCCATTTAACCTTTGCTCTTTGCCTCCATCTCAATTCATCCATATAGGCTATCTTGTCTAGAGTCAATTGAGCTACTAATCTTCTTTTCCTCTCCTTTTTCTGCTATTGGGCCAGTTTCTTCAGCCAAATCCACTTCCTTAATTACTTCTAAGCAATTCCTTTTTTCTGATTCTGAGTTCCCTTGGAACTCCAGCCTCCAAGATTTCAGTCTCCTTGATTAAACTGATCTTTTTTGCAAAGATGAAAGAGATGCTACCTTTGATTTGGAATTCTGACCATTTTGATGCAAGGGACCAGTTCTTCCTCTACAAACCAAGCATTTTCCAACATGAATGGAGTCTTTCTAACTCCCTGATTCCCACAAATTATCTGTATGAGGGTGCGATCCAAAACAGGCTGTGGGAGGGCCACCTGCTTTATTTGATGGAAAGTATCTTCTCAGCGAGGAGAAACCAAAAACCTATCTAATGTTATCAATACAGGGTTTCCCGATTATTTGTCCAGGTGAACCGAGTCCCTAGCAAAGGAAGATCAATCAAATCAAATTGATGCACAAAATCCATGAATCTTCTCATTTTCCCTGTTCTCTGAGTTCCTCCCTTTCTTCCAGAAATCACACCACATTAAAGTCCCCTCCTATAACCCAGGGGATGGAGTACACACCTCTGGATTCAGCAAGGTCTCTCCAAAGCCTCTCTCTCTCTCTCTCTCTCTCTCTCCGAATTATCAGTTCGACCATAAACATTAGTGAACTGCCCTTGAAAACCTCCCTCTAATTCCAGAATTACCGACACAGAATACTCCCCTACGTGAGATGAGATAAGCTTGCATTTTAACCTGTCCCAAAGAATTAAAAGTTCCCCCTGCACTACCTCTGGCTAATTTACTCACCCATCTCACTTGACCTTGACCCCAAACACTTCTTATCACTCCGGCCTCCACTGTATCCAGCTTAGACTCTTGAATAAAAAACACATCCGACTTCCACCTATTCAGAAGGTCATAGACCACCATCTTCCCCCTACTCGACCCTAACCTCACATTCCACGATAGAATTTTTAAATCCATAGACTGAGAAGAGAAAGGCCCCAAAACCCCTGATTTTTAATGCTCTCCAGATATTTTACCATTTCTTCCTCCAGACCTACGATGGAAACCCCCAAGAATTTTCCCAAACCCAGTAACTTTGAATTTACCGATGCCAAAGTGGCATCCACCTCCTTCCCTCTATCTTCCCTTCCCTCCCCTTTCCCTCAGAAAGCTCCAACCCTGTGCGTCCTCCCTCTTCCCTCCCCAAAACCACTGTATCCAGCTTAGACTCTTGAATAAAAACCACATCTGACTTCCACCTATTCAGAAGGTCATAGACCACCATCTTCCTCCTACTTGACCCTAACCTCACATTCCACGATAGAATTTTTAAATCCATAGACTGAGAAGAGAAAGCCCCCAAAACCCCTGTTTTTTATACCTTCTTCCCCTTCCCGGCCTTGTCAGTCAAGCCCCACGAAAGCCTCATCACTTCCCTACTTTTCTTCACCCCATTGCCTTTTTTTTACATTTAACTTTTCTTTTTCTTCTAACCATCTTCTTTCAATGCTCTCCAGATATTTTACCGTTTCTTCCTCCAGACCTACGATGGAAAACCCCCAAGAATTTTCCCAAACCCAGTAACTTTGAATTTACCCATGCCAAAGTGGCATCCACCTCCTTCCCTCTATCTTCCCTTCCCTCCCCTTTCCCTCAGAAATCTCCAACCCTGTGCCTCCTCCCTCTTCCCTCCCCAAAACCAAAGTGCATACCTGGTCCTCGCTGACTCCAGTTAAGTGTTTCTCTCCTAGAGCTAGGACTTCCGGAACTTTTATCATTGCCAGGGATGTTACCTCCGCCAGCTCCAAATCTGGGCTAGAGAAGGCTGAAAGCGCCCTTTCAGCGCCTTCTCCAACGGCTTGCACCGCTGAAGGTGTCTTCTCCAGCTGATGGACTCTCTGCTGCCACAACTCTGATGGAAATTATTGCATAAGTGTTCTCAGGATGGTGGCTCAAAGAGAGGTCAAGGGAGAAGAAGAGCCCTTGCAGAGATAATGATTTTGATGAAGGTTCAGTAGGATGTAGGAAGGATTATTTGGGTGACACAGTAATTTCGAAATGTGGTGAGAAATTGGAAGGAAGAATTTATTAAGATGAAGAAAAAAGGTGGAAGGGTTACATGGTAATTTAAGTTCAACTCAGGGAAGAGGTAGAGGTACAAATGGAAATGGGAACAAGACAGGCCTCTGATGGACCAATGGGTGGCAGCAGTGGTAGGGAGCTAGCATGTAAGGTTTGGGTTGTGTAGTGGCAGTTGTGTTGGGGTGGGATCAGTTCTGGAGTATGGTAGGTCACAGTGGGTTTGTTGGTGGGGTTTCTTTCTGGTTTGACTGGGTCATGTTATCTTTCTGTTGTTAAGGTTTCCACGGGGCTATTATATACCAGAGGTTGTTAGACCTCTCATTGAGCATGGAGTCTGGAGGCCTTTTACTTTTCTTTGTTCCCTGCTTTTATTGCATAAAAAAAAAGGTGGGGGTGGGGGGTGGGGGGACTGAAGTGGTAAGAACTTATTTGACTAATGGTTTGACAGAAAACATGGCTTTTGATAGAACAAGATGGCCCCAAATGGTTATCTAATGAAATTCTGTTACTTTTTCTCAAAAAAAAAAGAAAAGAAAAAAGATGGCCCCAAATGGATGGGATTAATTTTGAATTGAGTTGAGATCACTGCCTTTGGTGTGTTCTTTCTGATTTACTTTATATAGTGATTCATCAAAAGGAGAAAAGGAATATTGACTATTCAGAAGTAGAGCATTTTCCATTTACAGTATTGTTGCTAATGACGTTACTGTCTAGTCATGTTCTTTTCTGTTACAGTTGACAGTTTTGTTGTGTTAGTGGTATCACATACTGTTTTCTAACAGTTTGATTTGACTTGTGTATATGGTCCATTATTACTTAGTCTAATGGCAAAATCTCAGCCTGGCAAGCATGAGAACATGGGTTGAGCATGAGAGAAGCCATTTTGTGCAAAAAAATGCCAAAGGTTAGGACCACACCATATCCAATCTACCACTCCCAAGACCCCATATTTATTTATTTATCCTTTGGTCTCTCCCCCTTTACTCTTATACTCCACGTCCTTAGCTAAAACATTGTCTGATATCAATTACCAATGTTACCTTGTTACAGGGCACAGGAGCCCACTGCCAAGTACTAATATGTCAATAGGTGTCCTGTCCAGCCTGTGGAACTGAGATAATAATATTTAGTTATATAAATAATTAAAAGTGTAGTAAAATATTTGAACATATAACTAGTTATTGAAGCTAAGTATCATTGAGTATCTCTTTCCAAAATTAAACCTTTGAACATATACAGATTTTTATAGTATGACTTGTTAAATATACCCTTTTAGAATGGACCAACATGGTATTAGCAGCTTGACTTCTCCTTTCTTTCTTCCTTTTTTAGTAAAAGGATAAGGACAAGAGAGAAAACAAAATAAAGAAATTGGAAAAGTAAAAGAAGAGGTGTTCAATGAGATTTTGGGAATGTTGTTTTCCTGGTTGGCAAATCACTCTCTATTCAGAGATAGACACACTAGTTCTTTTTTATCAAGATTTCCTTTTGGAAGAAATATATATTTGTTTTGTGTTTCGGGTTGGGTGCATTGGGTATGTTTCCTCCCTGGTACAGAATCTCATTGTACAGGGTTTCCCTTTGTAGTTGTTTTCCTTCTGAATGAATTACATTACCTTTTTCTTCAAATTGGAAAAGTAAATAGATGAAAGCAATCATAACACTCAACTAGTAAGTTCACCAAGTAGTCAGACATACCTGAAATAGATAATCTGCATAAGCACTGACATTTCGCAGTAATGTCTCTTTTGCATCCATCCTTCTGCACTTTTTGCTATAATAATTGAACCTCTGGAAAAATCACACAGTTTTAGCAACATAATTCACAATCAACAAAACACACTAATTAAGTTTAAAAAGTAAATTGCAGGCAAAAAAAAAAAAAACATCATGGAAGATAAAGACATGGCAAAGCATGCTTTCAAAGTTTCAAGTCTTTGGAGTCAAGTGTTGTCTTGTCTGAAGAAGAATGCACAAGATCAATCTGTTTTGGGTGTCAAAGTGTATAATGTATAACAGCATTTAGCTTTTCTCCTTTGTTTTGACAAATAACGAATAATAGATCAACAAGGAGAAAATGCAGAAAGAAGCTACAAAGAAAAAGGCAGATAACCTCAACAGAGGTGAAAAGGGAACACAACAAGACCACTAAAAACAATAGGATGGCCTCCCAACCCAAGGAATGTTTTTGGTTAACAAATAAGTGATAACTTTTATTTGTTTTTTTTTTAAAAAAAAAGGTAACGTAAGCATTGTTTTGATAGTATAACTAATAAACACCCCTGTGCAAAGAGACTTTATACATCCATCCGCAGGGCATCAAAGAAGACCAAAAAACTAAGGACAAAAAGTATGACTGTGCTCTCTGGTGATTATGTTTTTTGCCAAGAACCAGTCAAAGATAAATTTATGACCACTTCTTCAGAGCCCTTTTTATCAAAAACCTGAGAGTTCCTTTCAGACCATATTGCCCAGAAAATAGCTAGAGGGGTTGCAGCCCAAGCTGTCTTGCCCATCTTGTTCATATTCAAAACATGCCAGATTCTAAGAAGCTCAACCCCCTTTGTGAGAACTATTTATTGCCAGACAGGAAAAAATATTGTAATCGTCATCATCATCATCCAAACCTCATCCCAACTATATGGAGTTGGCTACTTGAATCCTGTTTTGCCACTCCATTCTTACTACTTCAACCCAAAAAAAGCTCCACAAGCTGCCCCAAGACAGCCACCCCATATCACCCCCAAAAATAGAGACTACTCAGGAAGGGCTAAGCCATAATACAGCTAACTCCATACATTCCTGGTTAACGAGTCACCCAACAGCACTTGTGGATCTCCTTATACGTGGAACAAGATGTCCTTTCTAGCTCTCAATGCTCTAGCCTCTCTAATACAATGACAATTGATCCAACACCCATCCCCTCCTTGTACCAACCATCCCATCAAACCTTGAAAAAGAGTTAAGAAAAAGCACGCCATAAAAATCATAAACAAGCATCTAGCATTTCGCATGTCAAACATATATTCTATTTATATTATTCGACTTGGGATTTAGGAGTTGGGAGCCGGGAGAAGACTTAATTCATTGTCTGCCTGTCTTTCAGCATGAGGCTGATCCTACAAAGTCAATGCTGAAAGTATCCTTCTCAATTTCCACAGATAAATCATATTGAACAACAATGGTTTATTTCATACCATAATGTAGAAAGTTTGAGAAAGTTCTTAACAAGGTTTTACCTTTGATGAGCCTCTAAAAGCTCCTCGCCCACCCTGCATAAAGTCGACAAGAAAGCGGATGGGTTAGTCTAACTTGGAAAAGGGCCTTAATAGTTCAAGCGCAATTCGGAAAACGAATTCTGGTTCTTTGATGTTAGCACATTTCGTTTTCGTTTCTTTTCCTTTTCGGGCACAAAAACGATTTTTTCTATGTTTACAATTTAGGGAGTGGAAAGGGAACTGAGAGATGTGTCCTCTAAACATTTAACAGAAGTTAATCTACAAAAAAGGAGTAACGATGGCATACATGGCTTTGGATTTTAGTGCTCTCTTTCAAATCAGATTCCTCTTTTATTGGAAATCTATTAGAAGAAATTTGAATTGTTCAAAACATTTGACAAATCTGAATAACTCAACAGAGAGAGAGAGAGAGAGAGCAGACCAGACGAGATTGCCGGTAAAAGGAAAAGAAAAACATGATAAAGAGAAAAGAACTCACAGAATCCCAATGTGATCGCCTTTTGCGATCCAAAATGGGAGTCGAATGAAAGAGGGCAGCTCTGATATAGTTAGAGTTGGCCTGGAAGCTGTTCAATGCCGTTTTCATGGCGGTATTCATATCTGCACAGCGAGAACGGATCCCTTTCCACGCAGTCTAACTCCAAGCTTTCTGAACGACCAAAGAGAAAGGACAGAGACTGATGAGAGATAGTAAGGCCATGTTTGGAGTGCTTAAAAATAAGTGTTTATTCAAAATAAGTGCTTATTTAGCCATTAAGCACTTATTGGTATTTGGGAAATAAGTCCGAAATAAGTGTTTTTTTAAGCACTTATTCAATTTTTTTTTCAAAATTATCCCTTGTTGAATTTTAAAATACCACTTATAAAATTATCCCTAATTGAATTTTATAAAAGTACTTTTATAAAGTGTTTTCATAAAAGTGCTTTTATTAAAGTACTTTTATAAAAACACTTTTATGAAAGCACTTTTATAAGTACTTTTATGAAAGCACTTCTATAAAAATACTTTTGCGAAAGCACTTTTAAGTACTTTTACAAAAGCACTTTATAATGAAAGTACTTTTACGAAAGTACTTTTATTAAAGCACTTTTATAATAGTACTTTCACAAAATCACTTTATAAAAGTACTTTTATAGAAGTACTTTTATAAAAGTGCTTTCATAAATGCACTTTCTTAAAAGTGCTTTCATATAAATACTTTTAAGTGCTTTCATAAAAGTTTTTATAAAAGTATTTTCATAAAAGTGCTTTTATAAAAGTACTTTCATAAAAATATTTTTATAAAAGTAATTTAATAAAAGTGTTTTAAAGGGTATATTTTGAAAATTTGAAAGAAAATGAAGGACAAAATAGTCACAAATGCTTATTTAAGTGTTTATTAAAGAATAAGACTACCAAACGCCCAATATAAAATAAGTGCTTATTTTATTAAGCACTTGAAAAAGTTGGGTACCAAATGCAAACAAGTGCTTATTCTATTAAGCACTTATTTAACTTAAGCACTTCCAAACATGGCCTAAAACCAGTAAACAGTGTTTGGCATCGCAACGTTTTCCACCATCGCGTTTCGCTTTAATCATCAACACAACGCCCCCTGATTGTGCAACACTTACATCAACTCCCCTATAGCGTCAGCGATAATTAGTTAATTACTTTTTTGAACTTTCATTTGCAACAAAGACCCCAACTTTTTATGACAAATGCCCCTAGTTGTTAAGTTAGATGATAGAATGCCTTAAATTATAAAAATATTCACCTGAACTTTCCTTATTTTCTTTTATTTGCTCCTTTCTCTTAAGCCCTGATTAACCTAAAATACTTCCATTTTTCTCTCAAATGAAACCAGCTAAAATAACAAGGATTATTTCATTGATATGGAAAAACAAGTTTCTTTAAATTCTTGTTTTGTTTCACTAATATAAATGTCACTATTTCGTCTTAAAATAATAAAATTATCCATCCCTTTCTCCAATAAATTAAGAAAAAAAAATAAATGAAACCTTAAATTTATATATATATCAAAAAGAAACATTTACCATTTCATTTGAATATTGAATCCAGATAGAAATTTGCAAGAATTTATTAGAGCAACCAAGAGGATTTAAATATTTATTAAGAAAATCAATCAAATATCATAAATCATTCAAATAAATAAGAAAAGAGTAGTTTGGGATTTAAAAATTTTAAACAAATGAATGAAACTCTTTTTCAAAGTTAATTTAAGAAACTCTAAAAATTGGGATATTCGTCACCAAGTGAAAAGTTTAGGAGGTCTTTGTCACAAATAAAAGTTCAAAAAGGTAATCGTCACTAACCCCATAGTAAAAGGGGTCTTTGTCGCAAATGAAATTTTAGGGTGTAATTATCAATGACCCTAAGTATGGGGTCTACAGCAACCCCATAAATAAGAGGGGTGATCATTTCTAGCCCGGCCCGCAAATTTTCAGGCTTGGGCCTAGATTTTATGTTTAGGTCTGGCCCAGGTTCATTTTATGGCCAAAAATTTGTGGGATAGGCCTAGCATGAACACTTCAGGTCATTTCAACCCCAATCAACACACAACATATTTATATATAATAAATAAATCTATGATGTTAGGAAGGTATGATATTGAAAGTGCTTTTACCAATCAAAGTCGGACCCTTTATATACAACTTTTATGATATGGGTTGAATGGTTGTAAGTTGTTTTATATACCATGCCTTTCCCTCATTTTTTTTAAGGATATCATGCTTTTTTAGAATTATAGTTGGACCCTTTATATACTATATTATATATATATATATATATATATATATGCATGTTCTATTTTATATTTATTGTATAGCATATTTATAAATATTATACATTTTATACATATATTATGTGTCATATAAAATATACATATTCTATATGACATAGATCCAAAACCTAGCTTGGCCTGGCCCATGTTCACCCCCTAACAATTTACATTGAGGGTGTGATACATATTCCCTGTATAAGAAATCATTTAAATATCCAGCTATCATATTTTGTGTTTTTGAAGTAAAAGAAAAAAAAAAAAAACAAGACTAAGTGATGTCTCATGGTGGTTAACAAAAAAAATTCACATATTTCAGGGGAATCTTCACTTACTCCCATGCAACAAATTTTAACTTAGTTGTAGAATTGGAGGGAGTTTATGCCAATAAAGGGGGGCATGGTGTCAAAGTTGGGGTGTTGAAAGTTCTGAATTGTTGTGGGTATACGATAAAGTTAAAATTTGTTAGGTGGGTTTCAGTCATATTTTCTATATATTTTATTATATTTTAATAGAAAGAAGAGATATTTATTTATATATACCTTGAGGTTTGAGGAAACTTCTTAATTTCTTATGCATCCTGTAGTACTAAACTACTTATATATACCTTGCTAACCTTTCAAAAATTATGTTAATTGTTCATTAAATTTTGAAAGCATGTCATTCATTCTGGAAACTAGGTGTATATATAAATAGTTCCCTTAAACCTCAAGGTATATATAAATAATTATCCCTAAAAAGAAAACCCAAGTACAAAAAATGGGGAAAATCCCAACCCCAAATATACATACAAGCTACGTAAATACTACTTTCATCTTTGTACTCACTATATAAGTTCATAGTTCTGTTATTAACATATGAAAACTTGGGCACATCGAGCTCATATCCATTGATTTTGTTTAGGGATACAATTTTGTAAAACCAAATCTTTGGTTTAATACTTTTGATTCGTTTGGTTCATGGGAATAGAGATCTGGAATCAAAATCCAATGGCCCATTCCGATTTTAGCTGTTTAGTTGGACGTAAGGTTGCATTTGATGGAGGTGTAAAATTGAACTGGGGTAAATTTTACACCCGGTTCGCTTTTACAAGCATGCTAACATGTAATTTTACACCGAAAATCGAAGTAAAAGTACATGCTACCATTGAATTACATCGATAATTAATGTAATAAATACATTGAAATTTTCGATGTATTTATTACATCTCTCTCTCTTCTCCTTCTCTTCTTCTTCTTCTTCTTCTTCTTCTTCTTCTTCTTCTTCTTCTTCTTCTTCTTCTTCTTCCCTTCTTCTTCTTCTCCGTCACCACCACTCGGCAGATCTAAACCCACCTACGTTCTCCATGGAAACCACCACCAACTCAGCAGAAACAATTCCATGGGAACAGAGGCAGAAGCTTCATCACTGTCTCCGGCAACCATCTGCCTCCTTCGCTTGGGAACAGAGGCAAAAACAGAACTGGTTCAGCTGAAGCTTCATCACTGGCTCCAGCATGGTTTCAATCTTCATCAGAAATGTATAACCCTCAACGTCGTGGTTTCAATCTTCGCCAGAACCCTCCTATTTTCGCCATGGTTTCAATCCTCGTATGACCCTCTTCTCTCTCTCTCTCTCTCATTGTGCCAAGTTCGAGGTTCAAACGCCTTCTTCTCCTTCGTGAGGACACTCAAACGATCAAGGCATCTCATCGTCCCATCGCCCATCGCCTATCTACCTCCAACAACAAATTCTAGAAAAATATGCTCAACCTCCTCCCTTCCCCTGTCTCCAGGCTCCTGAAATGGCTTCTCCAATACTTGTACGCTGATGATTTTACACCGTTTTGCCAAACGCACAAGAGTGTAAAACATGCATTCGGCCGGTTTGTTTTTTACCCTGATACATTTGATCATTTTTTATTTTCACCGATGGAGTTTTGTATTTACACCTCTACCAAACGCAGCCGAATGGAATTTCAATTCCCACTCCTAGTGAAATGGACATTCTGCATATTCCCCAATTTGAGAGAATGGCCATTCCGGCCTCCCCCCATAGGAATGGCATTCGGATCATGATTCCCATTTGGTTCGCAAGGGGGGGGGAGAGACAAATTTGACTATGGATTATAAGGGATTCCGATTCTGGTTCCAACCACAAACCAAACAGACCCTATACTTTATTGCATCATCTGCATGAACGAGATTGGCCATTAAACTAAAGACCGGTTTTATGGCTCTGATTTTTGAGTTAGTTCGATATCATCTAGATGATTGAGATTGATCCATCGGCATCGGTTTCAGGAGACCATTTTAATAGCATAAATATAAAAAAGTGATGATGTCATGGGATTACTGTGTCTAATATAAGGGTGTCAATGGAYCGTTTTTGGATTGGACCCCGTCCATTCCAAAATCAATTTGGACGGATTGGATGGACCAACAAGATATATTGGATTGGACCCCGTCCAGTCCAAAATCAATTTGGACGGATTGGACAGACCAACAAGATGTATTGGATTGGACCAGTCCGGTCCAAAATATTTATCATAATAAATTTATATTGGATTGGGTTGGATTAAGCCAATATCTGGTCCATTGATATAGGAAAAGAATATAGGTGTCAATGGACCAGGTTTGGGTTGAAACCAATCTAAATCAAAACAAATTTGAACAGATTGGATGGTCCAAACATTGAATTGGACTGGTCCATAATGGTCCAAAATATTCATTGGACTGGATTGAACCTGGTCCATTTATAATGGACTCACATTGGATTGGACTAAATCCGGTCCAATTGACACCCCTAGTCTAATATATATTTGGTGTTTTAGTGATACGCCCGAATCCCCCATAAGGGCTATTTGAATAGCACAACATCACTCTAATAAGTCAGTGGTTGCAAGAATCAAATTC